CTGTACACATGTACAGTGGGGGGGGGGGGGATATTTAGTCTTTCATAGTTGAGGTCTAACTATGATGTTAATTACAGGCCTCTCATCTTTTTAAGTGGGAGAACTTGAACAATTGGTGCTGACTAAATATTTTTTTCCCACTGAAGCAAACTTAATATATAGAGCTAATATTGGCAAAATCTTTGTGTGAGGGCAGAGGAAAGAATTTTGCTTCAGAGGCAGATTGTTAATGTTAGTGATGGTAAAAGTTTGACGTTGTCCCCACTGTCTCTGAAAGTAAAACACTGCTGAATTTACAAGTTGCTGTGTGCTTTCTCCTGGTTGTTGTTTTACAATGATATTATTTATGAATAATGTAGCCAAATTTTTTACTTAAAATTTTGAAGACATCTTTTACCGCTCCCTGAGAACCACGGTTCACTTTCTGGGAGTGCTGCGTGCGAGTGACGGGGGTTGCAGATGGGTGACAGCCGGTAACAAAAAAACATAAATAGCAATGAGTCAGGTTATGATTTGAATCAGTAGCTACATTTTAAATCCAACGAAAGCAAGATTGTTATCAAATAAATTGGACAATAATCTGGCTATTTAGTGATATTTCCACAGTTGTGGTCTTGAAATAAAATTCAGAGTCCTCAATGTCCGAGACCGAGACAAGACGAGTACAAATGCTGTCGAGTCCGAGACGAAACCAAGACCATCAAAAAGTGGTCTTGAGACCGGTCTTAAGACCAAGACTGGTTTCAAGTACTACAACACTAATAGTAACCTTTGTTAATCAGACAGCATGAATGTAATATTTGACTGTTCATTACTTATTTTTATTGTGACTATAAAAAGTCCACACATTTGTAACTTGTAACAAAAAACAGGCCTTTCAACAGCTGTTAAAAGGCCTGTTTTTGTGATGTAAAAAGACGAAACCATTGTAAACCATTTTCCCAGAAAGAATGCATATTGCCCACCACCTTTCATGACGGAAATTAATACTGAGAATATATTTTGAGAAATGCGTTAAAATAACATTATTCACAACTTTGAGTGATATTTTGCTGACAGAGTTGCCTTCAAATATGACAAATGTAAACAAATACGTGGTGCAATCTGTTGGTGTTCAGAATATGAGTTGTGGAGCCCTTTCAGCCAGTACCACTTTTTTAGAACAAACACTTTTTTAAATATTTGCAAAATAACTGAACAATAGCCTTTTTTGTGTGTTTATATTTTTATGATTGGTTGGCTATGGTGACCTCTTGAATTGGGTTGACTCTTAAAGTTAATGAATTGTAGGTGTACACATGGTTCATAGGATATTTTTCTAACAGACATGGAAAAAACCATTATTCATAATGACGTAATGCTTTGGTTGGTCAGATGGTTTGATGTCTTAGGCCCAAGTTGGCCTGTGGACCACCAGTTGAGACTCAGTAACCTTTTAAAGCTGATTGTTTACGGTGTGTTCTCTGCAGGGGTTCTGTGTGCCATGCTGGCCATTGCAGACACAGTGAAAGCAGAATCAGCGCTGGCGGTGCACACGCTCAGCAGCATGGGCATTGAAGTGGTCATGATTACCGGAGACAACAGGCGCACGGCCAAAGCCATAGCAGCACAGGTGGGGATCAGAAAGGTGTTTGCAGAAGTGCTGCCGTCACATAAGGTGGCAAAGGTGCGGGAGCTGCAGGAGCGAGGCCATCGAGTGGCCATGGTGGGAGACGGCGTCAACGACTCGCCTGCGCTGGCCTGCGCTGACATCGGCGTTGCCATTGGCACCGGCACAGACGTGGCCATTGAAGCTGCTGACATCGTCCTGATCCGAGTAGGTGATCGTGCAGAGGTGAGGTTTAAATGTGTCTGAATTAGCAACATTGTTAAAGATGAGCAAAGAGTCTCAGGACTGTAACCTCAATACGAAAGTTCCTACAAAACTCTCCCAATTTGCAAATCACAGTGTCACTTGACACTTTTCTTAAAGTAGACACATTTAAATAATTCAACTGGGGTCTATATAAAGTGGAAATGCAATGTTTTGATCTGAAGTCCTTTTAATTTTATCTTTACCAGCCCTTATGTCACCTCTTTTGAGGTTTGTCTCAAAGTTTGTCTCAAAGCAGCTCGTTTCCTTTAAAGGAGACCAATTATGGGTCCTAGAAATGTTTATGGTATGTCTGTGGGCTATCCAGACCATGTTCATTCAATTTAATGCACAAAATAATTCTCAGGTAATAAAATTTCCCATTTTCTAGTTCTGCCTGCTCTGTTTATGTTAATGAGCTCTGTTGGTAACGCCCTCCAAAAATCTGTTGACATTAACTCCGCCCTCCAAAGCCAGCGTTTACGTTAGCATGGCTAATAATAGCAGAAGCTCTGTTGTACAACCATATGAGACCCAGAGGCAGAGTCGGTCGCAGCTTCTTTCCTTTTTTTTTCTCCCTCCTCTGCTCTGCGCTCACTCTGCATGCTGTTACCAGAGCAGGGAGCAGCAGCGGTCAAAATACCTCAGAAACTCAAACAAATAAGCTTTAACAAGGCTTTAATAAGCTAAACAATAGAGGTACATGAGAAAACATGTTCATAACGAATGAAAATAAATAAATAATTAAAATTGTGTCCGTGCCGGTCTGAAACCCTGGTCTCCCACTCTCTGGTCCAACACTCTACCCATTGCCCTATTGGAGGCTTGTTGTGAACTAAGCTGCACATCACACAACAACAACAGTGATGGCTTTTTATACTGAGGAGGAGGAGCTTCACCCGGGGTTTGCTAGATAAGGGGCTGAACGCAGGTTCTGGTGGGTTGTCGTACGGCTTGTGGCATCACAAAATGACAGAAGTATAAAACTTGTCGTTAATATACATTAAAAATACATTTACTTACAGTAAATATGCCCCTGGGTGCATTTTTTTGGTCCTTGGACTGTTTTTTAAGAAGTACATACCCAAAGTTGAGTAAAAAAACGTTTAAAAAGTGAATTTTGTATAATTGGTTCCCTTTAAATACAGCTTCATGCCCGCCTCCCTCCAGCTTACAAACTGGTTCATTCTAAGTTGATAAAATGGGCACTGTCTATCTAGCAGCACAGAAACATTTTATGCACAAATTAATTAAAAAATGTCAACAAAGGAAAACTTGTCCATCCAGCCTTATGTTGGAGCCAGAGACTGACTGAGAGCAAAAGGAGAATGAAGATGATGAAACTGTAGTTGGGAAGCCCCATATATTATTTGTCAGTTCTGTTGCAAATAATTTGATGTAATAGTACAGAAAACTTTATAGAAAACAGAGAAATTTGAACGGGTTGCAATATGTCCTAAGAGAATGAAAAGATGTCTTTGCAGTACCAGGAGAGACTAAATTCAACTTTTCTGCTGATGACCCTGTTGCAGTCAAAGTAAACTTATGATTTATGCATTTTGCTTGTACTTATATGTGAGGTTGCGTTTATTAAAAGTACTGTCAATGAGACATTTTTAATCATCTAAGAAATGCTGTAAATTCCCAGTAACATGTTTAATTTGCATTTTTTTCTTTCTTACGACATTTTAAAAGTTCGCTCACAATTTACATTACAAGTGATGCCAAAAATTCCTGTATTTTTTCAGGTCGCTATATATATATA